CTCCAGCCGGACTTGAACCATTGACCTTGTCTGTGGGGGCATGGGAGCTTAACCGCTAAGCTATGGGACCCATACCCTATTTTTAATATTTGTTGGCTTTCTTTTTATGAAGCATTAAATAATTTTTGTTTATCAATTGAATCCTTACTTGATACATTTCTTCATATTATAATAGAATCAAAAAATCGCAATGCTCAATATTTAATTTTTGATTTATATTCGGATCTTTGTAATTGGAAGACATTAGCATTTTGTCATTTTCTTCAAGATATTCTTTTTAAAATTTCAAATTTAAGCAAAATATTTCAAACCTGATTTTTTCATGTTTTTGATTTATATTCTACAATTCAAAATACTATTACAAAATTAGAATGAGAGTATTTAAATATAGATATTAATGATATTCCTAAATTAGGTCCAAATATTAACAGATTTTTCATTACTATACTATCTAGAAAAGATACGAAGATTGGATTACATTATCTTATTTGGACACCAAATCAAGAAAACGATTTACTAGTTGATATAATGAGTTTTACATCTATAATTATTTTGGAAATTCAAAACCAGTTTCCTAATGATCCTTTTGTAGAAGCTATAGGAATTTTTAAATTATCTGCTGAATTATTAAATAATGAAAATCTGTTAGAATTTGGTAATAAGGAATTGGATTTGTTACTGGACATTTATGGAAAACCACAATTTCCCTTATTTTTACATACAATAGTTGATTCTAATAATACTCATACAGAATGGCTTTATTTTAAAAAACTTATATATAAAGATTATCAAAATCTTCTAATAGACAAATTACTTATTTTATTATTTAGATACTATTCTAGCTTATATCTGAATCTTATTAGACTATTAGCAATTATACATTGTATTTTTTTTTCTAGTATAGAATGTGAATGTGGTTTCTCTAGACAAAATTTAATTAAGACTAAACTATGAACTACTTTAAATAATAATACTCTAAATATGTTAATGATGGTTGGATTAGAAGGAGCAAATGAAGCAGAATTTAATTTTAATGATGCATTGAATATTTGATATAAACTTAAAAAAAGAAAAATAGGACATAATTCTCTAGATTAGAAATTAATTTTATTAATTTTTTTATGGTTACATAATTATCTTTAAGAAATGCAATTCTGTTAATTAATATTAAAAAAATATCAGATTCAATAAATTGATATTGAACTTACATAATGATAAAAAAAAGATAATAATAATAATGCTTTAATAAAATAATCTATCATTATCAAAATTGTAACTTGTTAAAAAAAAATATCAGATTCAAATGAATCGATATTTGAATTTATATCATAAATATGTAACGATAAAAAAATAATAATAATGATAATGCTTTAATTAGATAATCTATCGCTATCAAAATTATTGATACATGATTAATTCACATGACATGTTATGATTTTTTATATATTGTGCATGTAATATATTGCGCATCTTTATTGTCTACTATTTTAGCCAATTAATTTCGAATATATCATATATCAAGAATGCCACTTTTGAATGGCTGGCAAATTAATATAGTCATTTAAGCCCTAGTTCCCACCATATGAATACCAAAGGCACTTTACTATTGTTCTTAATGAGCATCGCCTTGAGCCAAATCTGAATTAGTATTATTAAATAACTTTGCATTTGTCGATCACCGCACATTTCCGAATAGATCATGTTTTTAGTAACTGTGGCCAGATCACAATGTACATGGACGATATCAAAGCCAACTGATGTCTAAATTTTCAATTATGAAACTACTTTTGGCTTCTAGAAAAAAGATAGAAATTTTGGTATTAACTATACATAGTGATGTGCCATTAATATGATACTTGAAAAATTTTAGCATACAGTATGTACAGTACTGTACGTATAGTACTGTACGTGGCACATTACTAACTATACATCATCCCAATCCCAAAACCATACTAACCCAAACCATAAGCAAGGGTTAAAGTTTCATTTGTAAAAAT